TAATCGTGGCTTCTACTTCTACAATATTACACCACTCACAAAAAACTACCAATAATCTATATTGATGAATATTCTCAATGGCGAATATTACCGAGTGTCTACTGAATGTGCTTTGTCTGGATAGGTTTTTCGTTGTTTGACAACATGTATGCATGCAGCAGTTTGTGGTAGACGGACGACTCGAATTGATCTTGGCAACATTGCAGTGTTCATGTCATCTCCCAAGTCATTGCAGACACCTAATATGATCTTGCGAAAGTATTCCAAAAAGGTTTTCTTGAGGAGTACGCTAAACGAACTCTCTCTTGACAAAACACTTGTTGGTCTATACAGATGGCTCATACTAAACGCAGCGTGTGGTTGCATCAAACGGTTGTAGGTTATAGCCTGATCCCACTCAATCGACCTCAAGCCCCTTTTGAAAAGCTGCGCGATCGGCTACCGTCTCCAAGAAAAGCCACATTTAGAGATCGTCCGCTAAGATCACTGTTGTGGTTCGTTGTGGCTAGCAATCCACTTTCTGTTGTGTAACCCGAATCAAAACAGTTTATTCTGCGACCACAATTCTGTTATTCTTGAAACATCGAATACTTACTGAATACTGCATCCTGTATTGTGGGAGCAATTAGATCTTTGAACTGTACAACTCCATCGAAATATGATCAAAAACGTTATTCCGCACAAAACTTGGCCTAAAAATGCGACGGTTTTTCTCCGATCATCTCTCACTGTGTTGGTTTTAACCTTCTGTCTGTGTCCTCTGTCTCTCATCCGATCGGATCAACCCACTTCTGCTCTGTCTTGGGCCACACACACACGCACGGGCGTTGTGCGCTCCTATGTCCAGACGCCAGAGCACCCCATGTTGTTAGGCTAAATCCGTTGGTGCACACGTACTGTTTAGTCGCTGCTTTTCTGGTTTATCTTCGTACGATTATTTGTACCCACGCTGTGCTTCGTATGTCCTATGCCGAGCTAATTCTACCACTCCCAGCATGGGCAATGCCTGTCTGCCTGCGCTGAAACGGTCTTGCTTGTCCAAACAACCAGCTGCGATCACACCTTCTAACCAGGAAAGCAAGTCTGGCCTGATGACCGCTACTAAAAGCGCCGCAACCGGCACTGTTAGATGTTTTGGGTAGTGTTAGAACTAGAATGGTGGTTAGCTAACTCCTGGTGAAGCGATGTTTGTGTGTGTGTGTGTGTGTGTGCCAAAAATTGAAGTTTTACTCGTTTTACGACTCCACTTCTGCCTGCCTGTCTTCTAACGGAGGTTGTTTGGCCAGCACAATAGCTCGGGAACGCAAGTAACATTGTGAGATGATTGTTCGGAACTACCACTTTCGGCCGGTTCTCAAGCAGGCAGCTCCAGATTACTGGGGCAAACATAGTGATCTGCGAGGACACTGTAGTGTTCCATCAATCTGCTGCAGGAAAATTCAAATAAATACATTTGATAAAAGCATAATAGGCTTAATATAAAGTGATGTTATCTTAGTCGACGAAGTTATTGCCTGAGAGATGACACTACATGTCCAGTATAAAGTCACCAAATTTGTTGCGCGGTAGCAATAAATAAGAAAGGTTTTTACAGGTTAGATACTGCCGAGATGAAATATGTGTGCCTGTGATTGCACATAGCCGAACAACCTCCTCGTGGCGCCAGATCGGTGGTTCGGATTCACCCCGTTTTAGAAAATAGTTCGGCGGTAGCGTTCCAGAACGTGGTGGGTTTTCGCCTGGTAAGCTTTCTCCCTAATAAAAAGTCACAAATGTCTGCTTAACAACACTGTGACGTGGCGGTTGTGACATACGACCAACTGAAGTCACTGACCCTTGCTTTTCCGAACAACAGCTTCAAGTGCACAAACATCAAGCATCATTTTAGCACTGGCAACACGAACGAAAGTGCTGAAAAGCATTTACAAACCCTAGAAACACATCTCGGTACGCCTACATGCACAATCCTATTGCTCCATTGTACATTGACTGATCACGGTTTGTACTCTTACTATGATAATGTCTGTGCAGGTGTGCCGCGCGCAGTCGAGAATAAACATTTCATTCATTTATTTATTTACTAATAATATTTCCTGCTTTCTAGTAACTTTAGAAATTAGGGTTGGAGACAGAAATTCAACTCCTATGTACGGAATCCTAGAAATCTTCCTTTAAAACAAAAATATGACGAGGTCAATATTGACGAGTAGAATCAGTGCTATGAACTGCCGGTTACATTGTAGATGTCAGTTGAATGTTTGCATTCTAGAGATGTTATAAAAAGCACTTCGTTATTGTCCATTCAGCTGGTAGCCTGGCGGAACGCTACCGGAAAACACCGCAGCTTAAGAGATCTAAAGCAGATCTAAAGTAGAGTTATGTCTGCTTCCTGTGTTTAAGTAACTGATATAATTCATGCATGAAACAGATCGAAGAATCCTCTACCACTGGTTTTCTACAATAAAACTGCATGGTACAGGTGGCTATAATTGCCTGTCAAAGAAAAGGTGGGCGAACAAGCGCGTTTGTTGCTTACGTTTGGCACTCATTCGTTCACTTTGTAAAATTAGCACGCTATCTACCTGATGACCTCATCCTGATCTAGCAGGGTTTGAAGAACTCGTCACGTTTGCAGACATTACTTGAAGCCTAGCCATAACACAAAGCTGTGGGACCATCAGCTGAAGCTACCCAAGCAATACAGTCGGTTGGGATGTCAACTAAATTGTTCTCCTCCGAAGTTGTCAATTGTGGAACGCTATTTCAACTTACATGGTTGTTGTACCCACGTTATCATCTAGAATAACGACTGGACAATACATTACACTTTTACATTACGTGAAGGCAAACGCAAACAAACAATGGACTCACTAGCCCCCATGAAATTGAGGTAATGAATTTAAATATGTGTTTACGTGAACATCATGTGGAGTCCACTGGTGCGGCGTTTAATTTTCTGGTGACTTCGTTCCTTTGTGCTTTTCATAGACTATCACAGACTATCCCACAGGGCATGTTAAGCTTTACCCATTTTACTCGTATTTCACCACTGTTCCACTGTTTCTTCCGACGTGGTACAGCAACATAATTCTACACTTCGAGGAGAGTAACAGCGAGAATACGATGGGACAGAGCTTGCCGATTTACATCGTCACATTAACCAATAAAAGGAAATGCAGGATGAGTTGAAAGTAGGTAATAATCATCATTTGAAAGAAAACAGTTCACCGAAGAGCAAAATCCCTGGTACAACTGCGACGAAAGGACAATATTGTAATATTTCGGCCAGACAGGGGATGGCAAGTAAGCTTACTGGAACAGAAAAGTTGAAGCGCCTGATAATGAGAACCAGTGCAATTATCGTGATCAACGGAGAAAACTGAGCGGGTTTTAGCGTTCTTAAGATATTCCCTATACAGGAACACAAAATTTATAATGTCATCTCTAGCGAAACGGTAGTAGCTAAAGTTTAAGTGTAATCACTGCACAACATTGCCACAAGTGAAGTCTACCATGCTCAGCGAGACAGAAAACAACGCGTCGCCTTGTATATGTAGCCAATGGATTTAATTATCATCAAATGTGTTTCCAACTATTGGTTGTCACTTGACCCGCCAAGTTACCCTCGATGCAAGATAAATCAGTGCGAAAGTATGTTGCAGGTTCGCAGGCACATCTTTGGGGGCCAGCGCTGTCCTCTGCACGTTCGCAAACTGCGTGACAGTAGAGGATGAGCCGCGCTATATCCCAGCTAGATAGCATTAGTGGCATTCCATAAACTTCAGCCATAGCTCACGGGCGTATGTCGCTGGCTCATAAGAGTAAGATTGTGGGTTCGAATCCGGCAGGGTTCGACGGGTGCTCGCTACTAATGAGCCCCAATATATTATCATTTATTAATCAACCCTTGACCAATATTCGATTGGAAGTTCCATAACACAGTTAAAAATAACAAGAAGGGGAAGTAGATGTCGTCATTGGAAGGATTAATTAGCTTTAGGAGGTCCATGCGTTGTGTGGGCAGAGATCTTCCCGGCTGCCCAGGTCGAGAAAGAGGGTAGACTTAAAGTACCACGCCCTGAGACTTTGGTCGTAAAGACCTGACCCGCAGGGCAGCGGGACGATTAACGATGACCGTTGACAGCCGGGTAGTTCATACGCCTTCTTTGTGTTCGGTAGCGGTCCACAGAGAAACCGGTGACCAACAAGATTGTTCATCATCCCTCCGTAGCGACCCGCCTCCGATTACAGAAGTGAGTGATCAGTGACCTTATAGCCGGTCACATTGCCTTTGACACAGCGGCGTATGAGCTCTTGTGGCAATCAGTGAGGAACCAGGTGACCAGCCCAGAACTCCCCACGCTCTGAAACGTTGCTGCTGATTGTCCGTGACTGTTTATTCTTCTCGCTTGCAAGACAAACGTGACTTACTCGAAGTTACCTCCACAAAGAAGGCACTCCCCAATACGCAACCTGTGGAAGCGCCCGAGGGCGTACAGCTCCGCCACGAGCCCCAATAGAACAAAATGGTCACCTATTGCTTTCCTGGATGTGTGGTCATTCTCTGCCTGATGTTAGCTGCGATGAATCTCCACAAAAATCTAATAAATCTCCCTGTTACTCACAAATAAGCGGTAGTCGCTTTAGCAGCTTACATGGCACCTCTATTGGTGACGGCTTGCAAAGTAAGTCATGGCTCTGGGGGGCCTGGCCTGTCCTCTGCACGCTCATAACATGCATGACAGTGAAGGATGAGCCGCGGTATATCACAGTTATTTGTCAGTCATGGCAGTCCGCGGCCTTTATCCATGGTTCAGTGGCATAAGTAGCTGGTTCGTAAGAGTAAGGTCATGACGTCGAATCTGACAGGATTCAGTAGATGAGCTCTACCGATGTACCGGTCGTCTAGTGTTTTCCTGAATTTACGGTGGGTGGCTGGCTGAGTCTAGCTATGATGAATCGTCCCAACAACAAAATAATTCCCTCTATTACGCACTAATATGCAGGTGGTTTGTCTCTCTCGATCTGTGGTCGAACCCACATGTGACTATGTTCGCAACCTTACCGCCGCTTCGGATACAGGCGTTGGCGGTCGTCGGCAACGTACGAACCACCTTAGTGCCTTTTGGTGAACCTTTGTAACCTATGAGGAATAAACCGTTAGTGTGCTTTAGGTTTTACATTAACCTAAACGGTACACACAATTCTTTTCTTTTTCAGCCTCGATCCTGTGGCAAGTGCGGTCAACGAAACGTACGTTAATTAACTTGCCTTTTCCATACAGTACAATAGGTTTACTTTCTTCGTTGTTGAAACACAGGAAATACTCTGTGTCATGATACTAATCCACCTAAGTTGTTCTACTTGTCATTTCTATGGTTGCTAAAGATTAGAAGCAAGTAAAATGCTGCAAGTATGAGTGGTTGCAAGAATCACACTTCCCTATATTCTAAGCAAAGCTTGCTACAGTGATTTCGGGGTTGGCAAAAATGACAACGAATCGGCTTGATCAAGAAGCATGAAGGCTTGTTGTTGTCTGAAATTTATTATTTGAGCGTAGGGATTTGGAATTAACGCGACTTTTAAAAGTTGTCGAATCTTTCGTCTTCACAGCCAGAAAGGAGTTGACAAAAAAACAGATCAACACAAACAATCCTAACGTCCTAACATCGGCAGAAGGATAGAATTTATGTGGAAAGTTGCAACAACCATTGATAAAAACGCAGCAACTAATACCCTGTCCCAGTGACGGACCTGCCCAAGATTTACTTCAGTGTGAATTGCGGTCGCGTTTATGGTTGCGCTTCACAATGCAGTCATCCAACGGTGTTCCAAAATGACTCCACTGTTAAGTTATTCACTGTGATAAACGTTGCTTGACGTGGGTCGGTGATATAGAAGAAGTAGTTTCGGCAGACACCCCAGAGGTCACGAGTTCGACTCTCAGTCCTGTTTTCTTCTCCTTGTAAGTATAAACGAGTCCAAAACCTGTCGGGAGTAAGTGTCAGGAGCGTGCAACGTCCAGAACGCGTACTCAAAATCTGCTCCCGATTTGCATAGTCATTATCGAACATTCTGAATATGTGACCTTCAACTGGGAGGTGCTCCGCATGTTGGGTGTCAATCGCTTCCAAATCTACTTTGCATTGAGACTACGGGCTGTCACAGAATCTGCGCTGCCTTGTCCACAGCTCTGCGGACTTACCTCGTACATGGAAGAATGAGCAGCGGAAACGCGCACTTCATTCACGCGTTTTACCCAGTGGTGAAAACTACGAAGACGCACATACGCATACACAGACACACGCACTTCCGTAGAGAGATCACCCAGTTAGCTCGGCGCTATCAAGAAGTCAGTGTGTCCAATTTGTCCCCAAAGTCACTGGTTGTTGCTTGCATCCAATACACGTGGTGCCAGGGGGTAAATGAGTAATCATCTTGTTGTTAGACTCATAGCGAGTTGCAGTTGGGCATTCATAGGTCCTTACCAAGCACTAGGATAGATGGTAGTTGCGGCAATCTCATTCAAATAATCCAGTGCTTAACACTGTTTCCTCAAAAATACTTTGCAGACGATCTATGGGTTATTTCGCCACCATGCTAGTCAAGGAGTTCTCACTTTCTTTAAGGTGCAAAAACAGCTCTAGTGGGAACAGACTTCTTCGCAACTGCCTTTAAAAGCAGAGAGCCTAACTACTATTTCTACTCCCCAGTAGCTCTATAAGTTCCCAGAAAATGGTAGCGCCCCGGTTGTTCGGAACGAGGTGCATGCAGCGTACCCAGTTGAACATTCAGAATTTAGTCATACAATCACACGTTACCACATCCTGAAAGTATTTGTCGAGGCATCCGCTTGGAAGTTCTCTAACAACAGTCTAGTTGACAACGTTTGGATAGTTCGTTGAAAGATTCAGTGATACGGTCAGTTGAGCACCAGAGACTAAGCCCCCTCGTTCCGCAAATGTACAGTAAATTCTAACTACAATTAACATTGATTTATCACGGGTAAAATAACATATGCTTGACAAGTCCCGTATGATGGGTGAACTGAAAATTAAAAGCAAAAGGATCAGGAAATGAGTAAATCGTCACTTTAAACGTCCACCGACTTAACTGCAATGTTGCATAACGTTAATACGAAATTGGAATGGAAGATGAACACGCAAAACGGTATAAAGTGCCGTTTTAGTTCACTTACTCCGTAAGAGATAAAGAAGGAAAATAACAACGCGTACTCCTGTCAAGCTTTTTCTGACCGATGTAATACGTTAATACAGTTTAGGTACATCCAAACTATTAATAAGGACGTTTACACATGTATCCTCACCGCCACGTTGCGCAGGAAGGCTACTAAGTTCATAGTTTATTTGGCATTGTTTCATCCTCAGAGTGAAGCAGGGTTATATCAATCAATGCAAGTGGAAAAGCGTTTCATCAAGGCGTTTTTTCGATAAGCGTTAAGGTAGGATTAGGGATGATGTGATTTGGAAGGACGTTCCAGATCCGGGACACCCGGAGGTAGAAAGCGATTTTTCGACAATTAAGTTGACTGTAGTGCGTGACCGGTTTGAGCTTGTGACGTCTTAGTTTAGTATTTAGCCTCAGCTACAACAGATTGCGACAAGGGCGAATTGAGTTTGTCAGTATTAAGTAGACCATGATGGGATCTTCTCACAACGTCGATATGTATCACTGTACAAGTTCAGGGACTGCAGTCTGCGCTGTTAGGGGAGGTGAAACAATCGCCTGACGAGTTTGGTCTCTCCACTTTATGGATCTACAAGTTCAGCAACCTCGCGCTTGCGTCAGGGACACCAAGCCTAGATCGTGTATTCCACTTGCGGCCTCAAATAGGTTTTCAACATTTGCGGAACGATTGATGGCTGGAAATTCCCGAAAGCCCCCCGTAAGAATCTAATATGTTGACTGGCTCTTTACCATGCCTTTTCAGCCTGTCTCGAGTAGATGAGGTCATCATGCACGATAACCCGGCAGTCGCCTACCTGTGAAGCACTTTACGACGGCTGGTCCCCAAGTCCATAGTTATTGGTGAGCTGATGGCTTATGCTCGAAAATTTGCATTTCACCAAGTTTAACTGGAGTCGGTTTTTAGATGACCTAGTATAGGTCCTGTCCTGATCGGGCTGCAGTGCCGTGTGGTCGTCCACTGTCTGGATTTCATGACAGATTTTGACATCATCTGCAAATAGTGAGAAATTCGACTGCAGTATACTATTAAGATCGTTGATGAATACTAGGAATAAACGTGGCCCCAGTACGGATCCTCGGGGCTTACCACGCTGGACGTCAATGGGGTCAGACATGGAGCTGCGGACTCAAAGGTTAAGCTGACGTTAAGTGAGGAAGTTGATTATCCAACCCAGCAGGCCGTCACCGTAGCTTCGAAGCTTGTGTGGGCGAATGTGGTGGTCCAGGCGATCGAAGGCTTTGAAAATCCAGGTAGATGACGTCGAGTCCTACTCTGACGTTGACTGACGTTGTCCAGCTACCTTGGGCTAGAAGCAGTTTTATGGTGCAAGACCGATTACAATGAAATCCGTGTTACTGTGACACTATGACTGTTGGTCTCACAGTATCCCATGAGCGCCTTTGTGGTTATACCTTCCATTACTTGGGATAACACTGGGAGAAGCGTGCTTGGACGGTCGTTCTCGGGCTCCGCATGATTACCACTTTTGTAAGTAGGAGTGACTAGTCCATGTTTTCACATTGTCGGAACCAAGATTTCATCTGGACCACGTTGAAAGGACTGAACAAACTATTCGGCAATATGCATATCTGCTATCTTCAATGCCTTCGCTTTGATGTCGTCCACACCAAGTGAACTGTGCACGCGCAATGACAATAGGCTTTTCATCACATTGGCTGCCGTGAACGACACGTGGTTGAACCCTGGTGGCGATGGGAGTTGTGTCAAAAGCGGGTGAAATGATGATGCACTCTGGAAAGTGTGGATGAAGTGTTGGCGGAGCACGTTGGCCGCCGCTGGAGTAGTTTGTGCCAGACTATCTGTTGCACGGAAAACTGGGACCCCCGCTGCACCCTCCGGAGCTTGTTGACGTGTCTATACAGCAACTAGGTATTTGTACTGAATTTCGCCGCTAAGTTCTGTTGGTTATGGAGTTTTTCTTCTCGGATGTACTGAATCCAGTGGTTTTGTTGAGCTGTGTAACCATCCCAGGTCTGACAACTCGGACAGACTTTGTTCGCTCGCCAGGCTGAATCTCTTAATGCCATACATTTTCTAGTGCGACTCCTCTGGAAGGGATTCCTTTGCTTCGAGCGAAAGAACCTGCAATTCTGACGCGTTTGCTACGAGCCCGGTGAACTGGGTGGCGGCTTCTCGGCCAGGAAGGAGCAGGCAGTTCCTTGAACGATGTCGGACAGGATGTCGTAATGGGTGACGACGTGTGTTTAGTCGTTGTTCTCACTGCTGTATTCCACGTTGAAGATATAACGAATGAGCAACATCGCGCCATCGCTACGACCAAGTGCTGCATCCATGACCACGGTGTCAACCATTAGTTTCTCGTTGGTGAGTATAAGGTTCAAAACAGAGGGTGTGTCACCCGTTCAGAATCGCGTTGGAAAGGTGACATGGTTGTACAGAGGTACATCGGTAATCACTTTTTGCAAGTCCGCCTTGCATTGTTCACTGTGCGATGCGGGGATTTCGATTGCGTGCAGGTTGAATTCCCCCACCAGAAGGACGTGACTGTGTGTTCGTGTCAGGACTCGTTTTAACGCATAAGCTAAGCAGCTTTCAATTTCCATGGTGGACATTGGAGGGCGGTAAACTATTGTTAGTAAACACACATCACCACGCCTTAGGTGCACACGACACCAATGAGAAGCGACTACTTTTGTTTCTGCGTCCTCAATGACATTAACATGCAGGTGGGATCGATAATACAGGAGCACTCCCCCTCCTCTGCTAGGTCGATTGTTTCGTATGGTAGTCATGTCGGGTACAGCAATCTCAACATGGGTGTTCTCTGTGTTCAACCATGTTTTGGTGACCACAACTATATTTCATGGCTTGGAGACCTGATGAATACGAAGTTCAGTTAGCTTGCTGAGAAGACCTTGCTCACTGGCGTACAAGCAGGTAAGGGCATCAGAGATTAGAAGCGCGTTTGTGAATGCTGATTGCCGGTGTGGGCCTATGCCGACCCATGTGGAGTCGGCACTCTCTCTCTCAAATCGGCGGCCTGATCATTCCCAAGGATCGATAATGAGGCGAAGCATGTTGTAGGCAACATGTTTGCCTCTGAATCAAAATGCAGAATGACAATTGAGCTGGTCGCACGACAATGAATTTAGAGCTCACAAGTACATCTTTTCTGCAGGTTGTTAGATCATAGATACTGCGTTTGACTATCGGTCAGTCTTGCATGGATAAGAAAAGAAAATACAAATTAAACAAGACGCTGATTTTCGTGTCTACAATTTTGACTATTAGTTAGTGGCATTATCCATAACCTAGATAGCAAAGGTACATTCAACCCAAGACACTGATGTAGTTACGAAGAGCATAGATCACAGCCAAGTAAAAGCTACACAAATTTGTAATGGGTATTGTATCTTTTCCAGAGATAACGCCATTTTTTCATGCGCCAATTCAACTAATGGTATCTGTTTGCCTATTGTTTTTAGAACCAGCAACTTTCGATGGATTGTCCCTGCTCGCGGTGAGATTCGACTTCGACTTCGATTCCAAGCCGACCGGGTTGGGCAATTTGATCAAGTGTTCCACTTCGAAGTGTTGGGTACCAGACGTGTGTATGAGTTGTATTGCAGAGGAATATGTGCTGTCCCATCAATAAGCCGTGAACCAAGGTACGTTGAAGTTTCCTGCAGCCGGTTAACTAAGAGTTGTTCGTCCATATGCATTTTAAACAGACTATTTAGAAATATAAAACATTGGAGCTTCTCAGTCTACCCCGGATTGCGTTAAATTATGGTATATGGTCGCATCACATCGGACATACTGTATATACGTTTAACCGTATTCTCCAAAGTGTGCACAGTCGACTGTAATTTTAATGAATCAGGGTTTTTTCATGTTACTGATCACTTTTACTAAACAGAAGGACAGTTCTATTATACAACAACCTAGACAAATGCTCCGTTCTTTCCCCACCCTATAGACTCATTTATCAGAACAGAAAAAGGAGCATAAAACCGAATGAGATAGTGCACAAGACCTACATCAAAGATACAGGAATATTTGAATTTGGACCTCTGCTGATTGAGAAAACCAGAGAGAAGTGAGCGGCATCAAGTTTGCAAGAATAAAATGCCTATCTAATATTATTCGCATATCTGAAACCGTACTAAACACGCTTGCAATCCCCATCAGCATGAATTTACTTACAAAAGCCGTAGCTTGGGTGAAACAATTCCACGGGCAGACATGTTGCTTGAAAAGTGGAGAATATGAGTCGGTCAATGCTTAGTGGAGGAGTCCGCGTACCAACACACGATGCGTCACTTGCGTACCTGTCGATTTCTGACATCTCTAGAGCCTTCTCTTCTCGTTTTGTAGGTCACCGATTATTGATTTACACAGTGAGGTCACTGGATAGGTTTGTCTTCTCTTCTGGTTGCGTTTATTGCTGTTTTGTGTGACTGCTTTCGATTGGTATATATATATATATGTATATATATATATATATATATATATATATATATATATATATATATATAATCAGCAGTCTATAACATAGACATAGAGCCAGCGAAAACCATGAAGCGGAATTACTACAGAGACCACAAAGAACAAGAAGTTAAAAAAATGTTTAGTTTGTTTTGGAAGCTTGCTTTTTCTTTTTTACTTTTTTCACACTCCGTTTGGTCTTTTTTGTCTGTAGTTTTTGGAATGTAAAACAAGAGTATCATGACAAACATTTGGAGGGTCAATTTTGGACTACACGTTGGCTTGCTTCGCACAAGCTCAGTGTGGACCGCGCTTCACATTGAAGTGAATCTTGGTCACTTCGATCACTGGACCGTAGTCGAAGCAGATGGAAATGGTGCCTTGCCCGCCCGAAAAATTAACCCTCCAATTAGTCATGCACCGTAGTGCCAAGGGTTTTCTGCCATGACCCGGTAGCCAACGGGGTAGAGGTTTCGGCCACTATTCCAATGGACAAGCGTTCGAGACTTGCTATCTCCACCTGATAAGATGAAATGACAGCGAAACACGTAGTGGTTGTGCAGTGGGCGCGCAACACCCAATTTCCACGACGAATATTTGTACAAATTTTTCACTGCGCCTGGTTCTGCGCCATCTCTGAAAGAGTATCCGGCCAGCGGTGTTCATCTTTGATCCCCCAGCCCGGAACACGCACGGGACCTACGGCAGCTAAACTGGAATTCAGCGCTTTAATCGTTTGTCACCACGTGATACGCTGAACACCGCGCGATTTCTTCCAGCCTGGTCCTGTGCGAACGAAGAGCGCTTCGGGACAGCCGTTCGCATGGCATACGTAAAAGGTGGTTCATCCATCTCAGTTGGCGCAGTATTACCAGTCTGCCAAGTGGAAGTCCCGTGTTACCCAAGACGCGACATCTAAAATCATGGTTGAGCATGTGGTACATCCACCACACTCGAGCTATTCTCCGCAGACATCCATTGTCAAAGGTCGAAATCCGGCGCAAGTCATTCACACGAATCGGCCAGGACTCGCTGCCATACAGCAGCCACGCGCGAACACAGGCATTGTAGACCATGCACTTTACCAATAGTGAAACGTCGCGGCGTCGCCACAGATGCGTCAAGTTGGCAAATGTCGAACGGGCTTGAGCAATGCGGAGGGAAATCTCTTTCCTAATGCTGCCATCAGCAGACACAGCTTCTCAGTTAAACAAACTTGTCCACTTGTTCAAGCTGCGTATCTTGAAGAGTGAGCACTGGAGCAGGTGGATGCCAATCCAGGACAAGAACTTTGCATTTCGTAGGGGCAAAGGATATTCCATATTTTGATGCTTACATCGTCAAGCGGTTTAGAACGGCTTGTGTACTCTGTGAGTCATCACCAAGTAAGGCAATATCAACAGCATAATCTAAATCGGTCACACGGTTGCCAGGAAGAATGTCTACAACAGAACCCTGAAAGCTCTCAAGAGCGTTTGAAAGGATACCCTCAAACGCAAATTTGAAGAGAAACGCGGACATGCGGTAACCCAGTCGTACAGCGCTAGTAACGGCAAAAGGTGAAGCGAGCTTACCATAAACCCTCACATTATTTGAGACATTGTAATATAATGCTCGAAGGATGGCGATATACTTTTCGGGTACTCCATTCTTTTGTAAACAAGGCCATAAGGCTGGCATATCGATGGAGTCGAAAGCGGCTCGGATGTCCAGAAAAACAACACTAGTGGGCTAGCGGTAAAGATGACGCGTTTCAAGGAGTTGGCGGAGCGTAAACATGTGGTCTATACACCCTCTGCCGGGGCGGAATCCAGACTGTTCTTCACGAGAGCGCAATTCTCGAATCGGGGTTAGTCTGCGGAGTAGAATGGATATTAACAGCCTGGAGGCAACGGACCTTAGACTGATTCCTTGGTGGTTAGCATATAGGGTCCGGGCACCTTTTTGAAGATCGGGACGATAATTTAATCGCCCCAAGCGGCTGGAACTGTTGCTTCACACCAGATCTTAGGGAAGAAATCTGTTGGCTGGTTGACAATTACTTCGCCCTCGGATTTGAATAGCCCTGGAGGAAGTCCGTTTGAGCCAGCAGACTTGAATTGTTTCAAGTGTCGGAGCTCAACGCAGACCTCAGCTTCAGTCGGTGGTTCAAATGAGACGTTCCAAGGCTCTCAACTAGTATACTCAATAGACTCGCAGGTGGTGGAGGCCTATTGAATTCAGTGCGAAGTATGCAGCTTAGCGGTGCATTCGCCTTAGTACTTTGCTTATCGGCGTTCCGTCAACCTCGTAAACGACCTCGCTGACACCAGGTCTATTGTGGCAAGTGACCCGGATGATCTGGAAGAGCTTGGGAAATTTTCCAGAGTGGGCTGCCGTTTCTAATTCTGATGCGCACTGAGACCACCAAGTTTCGCGATCCGCAAGCAGGTTTTGCTTAAGTTGTTGGCTGAGAACTTACGGGTGAAAAGGTCTAGGAACAAGTGAACCTAAAGTACTTTATCCAGGATGCGTCTGTCACCTGTGTTGGATGAACGACTTTTTGAAGTTCAACTCCTTATCAAAACAACGTATCAAAGTTGGAAATGTTCATAGGCATTTACTGTCTGAAATGACATCGAAGTCTAGGATTGATAACTTAAGTTAAGCGTTGTTCCTCACCGTTAGTTTTTTCAGCCAGATCCACACACACACACACACACATACACACACACACACACACACACTCAGATATATGGCAAGTGTCTAGTTGGAGGATGGCAGTATAGCCGTCCGGAGTGCCCCAGAAATTTCTCTTCCATTCGTGCCTATCACTCGTGGAATGTTCTTCCAGAATCGGTCGTCTCTACACCGACGCTAACAGTATTAAAATAACCGGTGAATGACGCACTCATCCAATTACACTATCACATAGAGCTAAGTCTCCATCCTACACCTGGAATTTACCTTGGATTTAGTTGATGTTAATTCAGAGTGCTGTGAATCTAAGTGGATTGCAGGACTGCAGAGGAGCAAACGATAAGTCCTTATTTTTATATTTAAAGCACTAACTGTTTTATCATTATTATTATTATTATTATTATTATTATTATTATTATTATTATTATTATTATTATTATTTAGATATCACCACCAACTATCCAACGGGACTTGTAAAGCAACACTTCTTAACCTATATAAATTCATCGTTCATTGTTCATTGAGTGCGATGAACCATTTGTAACTTGCATCATCAATAATTCAAGTGGCTAACTTGTGTTCGTCGGCAATATTCGATTTCTCTATTTTCGTTCAACCTTGTCGTGGACTCTAATATGGTTTGCTCCTTTACCTTGAGATGCTGCCTGGTGGGAATCTAGTTGCTTTTAAGTATACGGATAATATCGTCTTGTTGTTCAATGATACTTGTGTGGCACAGTTAACCATGAGTAACCTATCTAGAATTGCCCAATCATTTGGCATGCGCTTCGCAACTTCAAAGTGAAATTTCTCGTCGTACCACAACCAGCCAATTAATGACCACTTCATCCTTGATAGCAAGGACCTCGAAGTAGCAGCTGCACCAACAAAGATGAGCGTATAACAAGTGAACTTAGTTCATCTATTGCAAAAGTTAGAACTCTCTACTTGACCCCGCGACATCTATTCATCAGCAAAGGAGTTACCTCGGTCTGAAAGTTCCTGTTTACATGGTCACCAAAAGACTGCCCTTCCCTGTAGGAGAGATGAATAATCCCTTCGATCTGGGAATCCGAGATGCCTACAACTTTTTGATCATTGCTGTCTGCGAAGTATTGCTGGTGTCGGATGGCAACAGCTTCTCTGAAACGATGATGTGCGTAGTCGAGTGTTTGGTGATGATTATCAAGCCTGTTCCTTAGAACAACTGGTAGCAATGAGTAAGTTGCGTTGGCTTGAGCACGTACAACGTATGCCCAGTCACCACTTACTGAGGAGGGCGTTGTTTTGTTGACCAGGTGTAGAGTGGTGCAAGACTGGAGGTGGACAAAAGTTGACATTGCAGTGGGAAATGAAGTCAGTGACGACCAAACTCGGTGCCCTTGATTCCTCTCGCCTTCCAATCTGGAGTCCACATAACGCCTTGTGCTTGGCTCGAGACTTTACCGGACAGGGCTCGCAGTCGACACCAGTGGCCTGTCTGCTGCCACCTCCTACCTGTGTAAAGTGTGTTTGGTGCTAAGTTATCTGCGGGGTACTGGTTGGTTATGACGCGGGACAGTGAAAGCCGCAAGCAAGCTGTCTCGCCGATGCCGCCTTATCTTTGCACGATAGGCAGATGTTTGAGACGTTATGTCGTTGACAAGTTGTAAAAGTCTCGACCCTGAATGTTTGCATAGGGCACTAAGGTTTTATAATAGGTTCCCACTCTTCTCCGCTTATTATTTGTTATTACTTAGTTTTTGTGGCGTTACGGCAGCAAATCATCAGTTCGAAAAGCCGAAGCTTGCTACTGGTGATGACAACTGGAGGCCATTACCTTACTCTTCTTGGTTCCTTTCACCTACTAGCTGTATACATGATCAGTTGTCTACTCCCCTTTTGTTTTACCCAGAGTACTTGCTGACTGCTATCCGGAGAACAAAACAATCTTCAACTTAACCAACACCACGGCCATGGACGCGGATATGTCACTCGGTCTGTTGTATGATAGCAATGAAGATACGTTTGGACTCAGTCCGAAAACACTGTATCTACCATCCGGACAATCTAAGCCAGTGACAATTTGGGCCCACCCCCGAACTGCCAAACGACAGATGGACGCCTTGGTTTGTTGTGTGCGAAACAATCCGGAACCGATTGTGATGCAAATCGCTTGCGATGGTGTTCTACCTGAAGTTGTACTGGACAAACGGGTGTTCAACTTCGAGAAAGTGCTCTTGCAACGGTGAGTTTAGCTCACGTTTGCCTTGTCATAGTTTAACAGCTAAACACAGAGTACGTTCCATCACCACACATGACGTCGGAAGCAGCTAGTAGTAATGGATGCTGTTCCTGATGGAGCCGATGGATGCGCACTATTGTTGAGACCCAAGGGTTCGAAAGGAACTTCCAGTGCTCTTCCGAGCACATGGGGTCTCTGGTTTGGAAGCTACTTAGAAGAATGTCTAGAGTACTTACTCTCTAATACATTTGTCCTATCCCATATGCTGTATAGACCACTGTTTGTAATAGACCCTGTTTTGCTCTCTGTACAGTGCACCATCGCTCTCACAGCGGCTTGTCCGACTCGAATTGTACACTATTATGTACAAGATATAGTAAGTTTCACCCTCATGTTGGTTCGCGCAGCACACGTGTCAAGGTATCACATAAACGTCTTGGCCATAACTGGTCACGGTTGTAAGCAGTCGTGAGTTCCTTCTTGCTCGCATGGCGCATTGTTAGAAAGACGAGAAAAGTACAAGTATACTTGTATGTATGCGCCCATACTTGTGTATGCGCCCATTGCAGCATGCTTTCGTTTTGCTATAGTGATTCGCTATTATTGTTCTAGCATATTATTTCGTGAACCCCAACGGAAGTTTACCTTCCTTGTTTCTGTGTGCGGACCACAGCTCCACACTGTCAATTTCCGTTCACTGTGTGCACCTGATTGGCTCCACCATTTTCGCGGTCCTTATTGGCTTTGTTCGTTTGCACTTTCTCAGCGCTCTGGTTGGTTTAACATTTACGCGTCAGGCTGTATAACGGTGCCGTTCCCTATAAAACACCTTGAATTCTGTTCCTGCTTGGTAGCATTTTCACCACCAGTAGTGGACGAAATCAGCAGCGGGCCCAAAGCAGCACCCGTGCGGACTCAGTGTGGTTTCGTGTCGTTAATAAGTCGTTGGTATTTAGCCAGTTTAATTATTTGATCTGCTCTCAAATAATCTCATAGATAAACGCCCAATTGTTGTCGAATTTATCCGGCGGCTTGAGTGTTACTAAACTGCCCTATGCGAATGGTTGCTTAATGACATTGAATGACCCTACCCGCATAGATCATCAAGACAACATTGCTACTTCATGGGATGACTTGGTTGATACATTAGCTTGGTTCTCAATTTAACGATCGACCGCGTTCATGAAGGGTAGATGTCAGCTGGAGAAACACCCTATTCTTTTTGCCACAGGAAGGAAGTCCGCTCAATAGCTCTTCGAAATCCAACGCTGCTTCCGTTGCTGTGGCGATTATCTGGCGTTGAGACACTGGGCGAGGAGTTTTCTGTCCCACAGGATGCAGGCGTCGTGGAGCCCAAATCGGAGTTCGTGTTATACCTTTACTTCAGGGCAATGAAACCGTACAAAACCGGACCAAAGAGAAGCCTTCGTTTGGAAGTGTATGACATCGAGAATCTGGCCGGTGTGATCCAAGTAGAAACTATTCAAGTAATCGCAGAAGCTTACGATGTGGCTCTGGATATCAGTTTTCCAAAAGGTTTGTGAACAATTCCACGGTGTTTCATGACCTGCACCCTTTATCCCTGTAGTTTTGTTGGAGGAATTTGTAAGACGAACCTTCTCCCTCTATCGGTTACGAAAGGCTGTGTACGCGCGATAATGATCCAATGCTAGTGATCCTAAAAGGAAGCGTGTCTCATTTGTCGGTCTAACCGTCCCACAGGAACAGGAAGTAGCACTTTCGCTAGATTGGATTTTTTATTTTTTTATTTCAAGTTTCCTTAGCCTATCGATGATAAGATCACCTGTAGAAGTGTTGTGGATCGTCATTATCAACTGCCTAGCGGAAACGGCACATCAAGCGTAATATGCGTAAGCGTGCGGCCCTTCAGCGCAGTTGATGGCGGAGTCCGCCAACATGCATAGCTTGGGCTTGGGTAATCGGAAAACCGATGCCTCATCAAATAAAGCAGACTTGTGGCGATCAACACTTTGCTTGCAGGGGAGCTACAGAACGAGTAACTGCTGAACCCAAAGCGAATAAACATAAAACAAGTTAGGAATCGATCGGGTGCGCGGAACGAGACGAAAATGAGGGTGTTAGCGTCCGAGTAGAACTTTAATCCATCACCAGCGCTGCTATGCAGAACAAGCCTTTACAACACGTCGTCACCTGGCACCTATTGAATTCCTCAATGACCTGGAGCCTAATTGACCACATTACCATCAGCTATCGATGGCGCACATCAGTCCATACTATCGGTAACTTTGAGGCAGGTGCTTTAATTTCGACCATGCACTAGTATGCGAGCCTGGCGCCCACGCTTTCCTCTGCAAAGAAGCGCCTCAATTCTAACATTGTTGCTTGTAACTTGAATTCCCCGTCTATTATCAAGAATATTGAGTAATTAATCCACAAAATGTCACTGATGAATGAGATTCATGAGCCGGACTCTGATTGGAATCGTCTCAAGTGTGCCATAAAGGGAGCGTTTGACGACCGGTGTACAACTTTCTTGAGACCTCCTAACTATGGACGGGTCTTTGACGTTTCAATCAGACTGATCGAAGAACCGAAACAGATTTCACTGGATACTGAATTTCAGCGTTCTGAAACGATGTCCGACAAAGAGCCTTCCAGCCATAAATCGGAATACCTGTAGCTCGGGTGATCTGTTCAGATTTTGTTCTGTTCTCCGAGCTGAACAGTTTCATTGCAAACGTTTTATCACCAATTGTGGTGATTTCTTTAGTGCGTAAAAAGAAACTGAGTTGTGTTGTCGACTCTTACGGACGAGCGGTAAGAGTCGGTAAGAGTGGATATCAAGGGTGTGGATATTAAGGGTCTGTGAGATGGAGAAAAAAGGTGCCACTAGGAACAGCCGAGTGCCATTCCAACTCATCCAGAACCCGAGTCGGCGAAAGCCATCTGCTCGTGAGACAATGGCTGATACAGATTGACAAATGATTTTTTCTCCATCGTCGACCAGCCTGTCGGGCGGAACATTTTGAGCTGTTTATCAGGCCTACTGCGACACTGCTACTTCTTAAATCGCCAGAGCCCGAGGTGGAAAGTGGATGTCAGACCTCCTAATTTGGAATGGAATCGACACGAGCTCAACGTGTTAAAACAGTAGCTTTCCCCTAGTCCGTAGCGCGAAAATTCTAATTCAAATAATATAAAAGAAAAATAATTCCCCAAACATAAGCGTTTGATATCACCTAAATATTTTTATAAATAGCCTTCGCTTTATCCATTTGAAATACAGACCTGGGAAACACTGCCTGTTGAACAGAAGCAAAACTCATGGTGCGAACGATTTTCCTCTATATTTGCTGAAATATGGAGGGTACTCTTTGTTCGCTGAACTAGATTCTTTGCTTGACACCATTTAGAACACTGAAAAATGCCTTCAGACTGGCGGCTGTCAACTGTCGGGCTCATCTTCAATAGTCAGCGGACTTCGTAAGCAAATAACCTAGGTATTAGCTTTATTTCCATTACGGGTAAACTTCACACGAGCATCATTCCTCTACGACTTACTGGTCCTCGTGAGAGCCGGATCGTCAAAAGCCAAACTAACTTCCACACTGGTTGTGTTTACATCGACCATATAATTACTGTTTGCCAAGTATTGGAGCAGAGACACACAAGGGACCAACTGTCGTGGTTTTCCTTGACTTGAAAACTGCCTTCGACTCTGTTGACCGCGCCGGCACGTGGCACTGACTTGCCATGAAAGCCGTTCCGGATAAATTCATTTCCATTATGCACTCGCTCTACTGTGAGTCCCAAAGCCGCCTAAGGGTCTGCGGGAAACTGTTTCCTGAGTTCCCCACGACAAGCGCGTTTCGCCGGCGTTGGTCTATATATTCTTTCCTCTTCAAAGTTGTGACCGAAATGATCATGAATGAGTCCGTTCCTTCAGACTCTACCGGAGTGGAACTTCTGCCACTTAACCGACTGGATGACATAGCTCTTATTGTGTCTGATGCAACGACTAGATGCAAACACTACTGCACAGACTTGTGTGTAGCGCTGCACGCTTACCCACGGGCTTTCCACCTTCAAAGTGCGAAGTACTGTTCCACGAGTGGACCGATACGCCGCCTGTTCTAGTTATCACCGAATAGCCATTGGAAGTGGTGGATCGGTTCACTTACCTTGGTAGCTGTGTCACCTCTGGTGGTCACTTCACTGAGGAGGTTAATTAACGCACCAGAAAAGCCAGTGTGGCTTTTCAGAGACTCAAGCACCTATGGCGATGGCTGGATCTCAGGCTTTTAGTGAAAGGTATGGAGTATAACGCTGCGATAAGGCCGGTATTATTGTGTGGATTAGAGACCTGGCCAGTTCGTGACCAAGGCATTAAACTTTTGGCCGTGTTTGACCACCAGTGCTTGCAGAGTATTGCTCACGTGCGGGGGAACACCGGATGAGTAATGCTGAAGTCCGCCAGTTGCTTTTCGGCAAGAAGCCTCCTGGTGCTTCACTGGAGTGTTTGCTGGATCTGAATCCATTACCTTGGCTGGGCAATGTCCTCCGTATGCTTTTTAATCGGCTTCCTTGGCGTGTGTTATACGCCGTGGCTGCATCAAGTTGGACGAAACCGCGAGGTGACCAGTCCATGGCATAGTGGCATGAGGAAATTGACTGAGAGATTTGGTCAGGCTGGTCTGTGCCGTCTTCGTGGATGGGAGCCTCCGGAAGTTTGGAGACCGTGTCAGACATGGTGCAGTCACGCAGTCAGTGGCGTTCTTGCACTCGATTTCTCTCACCTGGTTGCTACTTTTTGTTGTATTCTGATTAGTTTAAAGCACCTTCTCCTTGCTCCCAATATTTTTACATTCCAATTACCTTCAACCTTATTTTCATATTCTTATTTTTCTGGCGAGGTGAGTTATGCCAGCTGGTTCCACCACACTGGTCTTCGGATCATCGTTGTCTAACTGAACTGAACTGACCTTCACTTACACAGTGGTTGCTGGCATAGTGAGGCAAGTGCTGACAGCTCTTTCCATTCTGCTTCCGGCATCGTGTCTAACCTACTGGAAGTCAGCGTATCGAGTACTCATACTACGACAACTCGTCTCCTATGATTGAGCGCCTAATGGAGACAAAGCCTGAACTTCAACACAGTCCACGAAACACTGCTCCCCAATGACGGGATGGAAGATGCTTTCGTAGTAATCATTGTAGCTGTCACGCCTTCACCGAATGTTGATTTCAGTAACCCCGGAGGTCAGCTGGCTGTTTTAATGAATCGATGGATTTCTCATGGGTACAAAAGCAAAGCTTGACAATTCCCGCAGGTAAAGCGTGAAAACCGAATATGAACTTATCAACAAAAACAAAAAAGGTCGCATATCGATGGACCCACGTACTTTGGTTTTGTCATGATGTGATTCCGTAAAATCAGCTAAATCTTATAATTCATGTGATGTAATGTTACATCAAGTTTAGATTTGAGTTCAGTCGATGTAGAAGTGGTGATGACGGAAATTCGGAGAGCTTTCCACCACTGGGACAGACGAAGTGAGAATAAACGCCGACGGCATTCCAGCGAGCTATACTCTGTGACTAACTTCCAGTGATGGCCGCGGGATGAAGTGTTGTGACGTTACTTCAATAACTGTCATCAGGCGTGGTTTGGATACTTTACGATCTGAAACACAAAAATAAGATCACTGCGCAGTCGACGGTATTGAGCACCGAAAACTCCTAGGATCTGTAGTCTGTGCTGGTAAGGGAGATGAGTCAGGCCCTTGACCATTTTTGTTGCTCTTCTTTGTGGATTCTCAAGCGCCGCGTGATCATGCTTCTACCAGGGGTACCGTATTTGGATGGCGTATTAAACATATGGCCTCAAGTTAGCATTTAACATTTATGAACAGATGGTGAGATCAAACCGGCCAAACGTTCTCCGCAAGAGACCCATGTGCTCCTTGGCTTTCCTTGATACTTTTTCGGTCTGTTTTATGTACTCGAGATCGGCCTACACGTTCAATCCAAGATCATTTTCATTGAAGACGAGTTACAAAAGGTCTTCTCCTAGCCGGTATGCGTAACTTCTCTGGTGGTGTGTGTTCAGTACTCCACATTTTGCAGCGTTGAACTACAGCATGTCCTGAACCGACCAATAGAGAACCTAGTCAAGATCCCTTTGTAGTGTCGTGTTATCGTCTACTGTCCTGATAGTCTGACAGATGTTGACATCTTCCAGAAAGAATAAAACGTGCACTTCCATCACTCCCACGAGGTCAGTAAGGAAGAATAGGAAAGTCCCGGTCCTAGATTTGAGCCTAGTGAGACGCCATATTGCACCTCTATCAGTTCCGATAAGGCGTTACGAAATCTCACATTTAGGCGACGACGAAGCAGAAATGCACGTGGTCAACCCAGCATGAGGGCACCGATTCCACTGTTCTAAAACTTAAGAATGAGGATGTTGTGATTTTGACGATCAAACGCTTTCGAGAAATAGAGGTACACAGCGTCAACTCCCTCCTCAGCGTCGACAGATTCCATCCAGCTGA